GGATACTACTCAATCACGTATGAAACTGTAATTCAAATAAAGCACGAGTGAATTCCTACCTCTCCTGCACAAGTTTCTTGAACTGTGATGGGTCTTCCTTCATTACAACCTGCGCATCCTCAAAGTCCAGCTGGAGCAAATCGCAATGTGACATCATTGCACCCTGTCTGACCGCTCTGTACAGGGAACTCAATACCTGACCATACACGCACGCACACCCGCACTCACACGCATGCATGCGTGTATGCATGAGGTTATGCATGCTCACACGACCACATGCGTGTACGGCTGTACGCGCGCACTCATGCAAGTGCCCACGCATGCACACACATCCGCATGCACATACGCACATAAACATGCACGCAGGTATTCACACACCAATGCAAATAGAGCAACACATTTCTCACAGTAGAGCATCATGAGCAATCTGCCTTCTATGAGCTATACCTTCCGCTCTACCAAAAGTGTCACCCTTGCTATGACGCTGGACACCAACCTCTCTCAGAGTCGATTAAAACTGCTTTTGAAAGATCTGCTATCTCTCAAATATTTTTACGCAACCTACACATGCACAATGCGTAACACTTATTTATAGTCCTACGAACTTGCAGACTAAAAGATGCGAATTATTACACCATATATTTTGTACGATTTGAATGACAGCAATCCCCACTCGTGTGTAGACTTGGCCCAAGTAACGAGCCTTATTGTGATCTGTCAATAATACATAATGTAAGCTTGTTACATGGTACATATCATGTAGATTCACACAACCACGCAATGATGACTATTATGTGACACATTATACGGTACCTGCACAGGATAGTAGCCTCCGTTAAATGGGTTGTGGCATGACGTCTGGTCCGTACCCATGTCAACGAGCCGTTCACCCGTCATCTTGTACTGCTGCAGTAGCCCTTCCCTGCACAGATCAATTCATGCATTGGTAACTCACAATTGATCGAGAAGAGTATCAGAATCTTACGAGAGTTACGAATTTTATAGAAGCATTACGATCGAGTTTTTGCTCTTTTATAGTGTTTCTGAATTACCAGTTGAGCAAACAACAGATGGTATTTATTTGTATTGTTTGACCGGTTAATTTTCATTCTGCACGATGGATCTTCAATTTTTAAATAGAAAATGTGCTTGTAATTCATTTAATGTTGCAAAAAAAAACTTTTAGAATAAACGATACATAGATTTGTGCGTAAGTGAACATCACAATGCTTCCACCTACCACAGATCAACGATATTGCCATGGTATGCCAGGCTGAGTGGTTTCCTCTGGATTCGAGCACTCCTAATCCTGGCAATGCAATCACTGACATCATTCACAACCTCCATGACCCATCCCTGCTCGAGTCTCTTATATACAGCCTCCTGACTGACCTGCAAGTAAGTACGGGCATCGGCACAATGCAACCATTAACTGTGAGTGCCTAGACATACATCACCACAATTCAACTTGCACCAGGTTATACTATGAATGTATCTACTAATATTAGTAGATACGTTCCTGATTATGTGTTTGAATGTATCTTCCAACTCAGGAACAGTTTGAACTGCACCATTCTTCGCAGGGAGCGTCACCCTAAACACACATATACTATGTATAATTAGTATCATCGAAATATATGCACAATACACACAGTTGGATATATATATATATATATGTATATTCATGATAGCAGTAGAAGCAAATAACAATAATAATAATAATAACAATAATGTGTTATTACCTCCGCCCAACGGAGTTGGAGAAGGTTATGTGATCGCTCTCGTGCGTTAGTGTGTTTGTGTGTTAGTGTGTTCGTGTGTTAGTGTGTGTGTGTTCGCGCGATCGATATTAGCGCGTCAGCCAGCCAGCCAGCCAGCGCAGCGAGCCAGCTCGTAACACATACATGTTACATGCTGGCAGAGGTATGCACTCTCCGTGAGTGCCCTCTGCCTTCTCATGGTGCTCTTGCTCTTTTCCCGTGCAAAGGTCATGGTCTACGCCACGTATCCGGTTATATGAGCAGACCGCGGGCCGACATTGATATAGTATACCGATCTTAACTATATCGCAACAAAGGCGTGACACGTCGAAATCTCTGAATGAAAGGCCGCGAGCTATAAATGCTCGTCGAACCCTCGTTTACATTGAATTGCGTTTATCATCCACTGATGTAGGTCACGAAGAGAAAATCACGCACTTTACCTATATACATATCAAGAGCTAATAATACCAAGGTAAGGTATAATTAAGTATTTATAATAATAAGGTATTATTAGCTCTTGATACATATACATATATAGAGAGCCAAGGGATGGAGGCAATCTAGAGTTACAGGAGTAATGCTGTAAATGTAACTGTATACGACAAGATGAGAGGCCAAAACGCACGGACACGAACTACGAATACAGAAAGTATAACTAGGAAATTTTAGCCGGTCAGTGAAGAGACTGGATGTAGAGAGCAAATCTACAAGCACGAGAAGTAGAACTAGGAAAATACAGAGAGTAAAAGAAAATGTGATGATTATGAACGCGGGCTACGTGCACGGACGCACGCACGCACGCACGCGCAACTATCGCGGAATGTTCTTGCGAGTGAATTCCGGTCACGCCGGTAGCGGCTGAGCCGCCCTGTCCGCACAGCCTCTGCATCCCAACCACGACCGACCCGTCACAGCCCTGAAGGGAGATCGGCAGCAGCAGTATATAATGATGCTGGCGACTTACACCTTGGCCATCACGGAGTCGATATATCATGTTGTCATAAAACCCGCATGCGTCCATTCCGAGCGCTCCTATACTGCGGGTTGTCTATAGAGGAGTATATATATGCGAGCCAGCTCGTAACACATACATGTTACATGCTGGCAGAGGTATGCACTCTCCGTGAGTGCCCTCTGCCTAGTTGATTATGTGTTCATGGTGTCACGGCGCGCCCTGTGTGTACTCTCACCTCAGCTATGACTCCCACACATCCAGCTATGACAGCGGCTTTGGCCTGCGCACCACTCATCCCACCTAATCCAGACGTCAGCAGCACCTGCAAGCACAATGTAGACAAAGGATAGGGCGAGTAACCGACAACAAGAATCGCCAAAATCATGGTATCTTTCAAACGTGTCTGAAATTGTTGCAGTGACAACCACAACAGCTTGTGATGAGTGTCATGCATACTTACCTTGCCTGCCAAATTGCTGTTCCCGAGATATTTCCTGCCTGCATTCATGACGGTGATCTATAAGGAAATTACTGCAATTTACTGCTTATGGTCGACTCGTTGATCTTAACTTGCATGCATACCATCCTCTAAGAATGCACAATTCCATTTCCATTGCGGAATCTATTACAATATCGCATATACAAGTATGCAGTAGTGTTGGAAATAACAGCCCCCACCCCCAGTCCGTGACTAGTAAATTTTGGACAGGCCTATCTCATTTTTATGGATTTTACTATAGGTTACAAAGTAAAAACCAGAATGTTTTATATCAATACTAACTGAGTTTTCACAATTATTTTCTAGACTAGTATGCAAGGTGGTTTAATTTAGTACATACAGTAGTGCCATGGACAATGCCTTGTGGGCCAATGTAACAGTAGCTACCTGCAGTCATTTGTCCATACCTAGCATGTGAACCAGAAAAATAAACGTTTTAAAGAAGATTACTGCTAGCGACATGCAAACACATTACATTCCAATATATATAGCTACTTATTAGATTAGCGTATTGTAGCAACGCTGAGGTCAGTAACCGCAGTTAGCATCAGTCCACACAAGCTAATTTTACACCATATCGACAGACGTCCATACGTCCTAGTTTTAGTAATATATTTGGGAAGATATAATAATAATATAGTGGGTATAAGATATATTATTATATATAATGCTCTTCTGATAAATTTGGGACAGTTACATTATCCTTGTATGTGTCTCATGCAAAAAATTCACAGTATTACTTACATCGTCACTCCCAAAGCAAACAGCTTGTCATACTCTTCCCTAGACGAGTAGTTAGGAATCACCTATAAACAAGACTATAATGTACGTGTTACGTGTATAAGCATATGAACCTTCGTGGCATGCGACGTCCCCTCATTGCCGGTTCTATAAGTGACAGGTCTTCATTGTGTGCTTTGTGTATAAACTGCTATACACCTCATGTTGTGATAATGAAATTCTAAAGATCTACCAAAAACATTTGTCACTATATACCATTCCATTAGTGATGATTGCACGTGGTGACCTCTCTGAGCTGGGAAAGAGTCCGAGAGGATGTCCGGAGTACATAACGAGTGTTTGCTCCTCTGTCATCTCTGATAGGTAGTTCATCACCAGGTAGAACTAAGTGAGCAAATATAACCATTCTTGAAACCTGCCTCATATAAGCCATATCGGAAAGTCCCCGCCACCATATTGAGATCAGATAAGAGGGGTGATAAGTTGCCTATATATAACATAGTTAGGATAGAACTAGTCTAAGTTTTTGATCTATAATTCTCTTCAATAACATCGTACTTCAATACACAGGTGTGTTTCTGTTTACAGAAACATTTACAAATATGATTGTGGTCATTTGGGATATTTCGCACTGTTTGTGTTGGTACAGAAACCAAAGACGCACGAGTGATTACATTTTTCGCGTACTTGTCAATGGCACGCCGAGGCAATGTTATACCGCTTGACTTTTGACCTTAATTGGCGCCGGGACTTTCCGATCTCACTTATAGCTCTCACTGCTTTTGATGCTGCTGCCACCTCTTGATGAAATTTGTAAAGAAAATTCAAGATTCAAGATTCTTCATACTCGGAAGTACCTACCTGAGCCCAGTTTGAAAACACCTGTCCATTTCCTCCATACGTTACCAGCTCTTGAGGAAACTGGGCTACCCTGGGATCCAGGTTGTTCATAATCATGTGCATTATGGCAGCTGCAGACTCACACTTTGCAGGGTATTCACGGAGAGGGTATGCTCTGAAATTGTGTTTTGTAACATGATTTATATAATTGTAGGTATTATGACATAACTTGACTGTTTTGTTAGAATAACAGCATGCACAGACACCACTCAGTGATAGAATGAATTGATTATGCACCTTTACTGATGCCCTCTATATCTTCCTACATGCAGCTACTCATTAGAATTATTTATGTGTTCATATCTGTGGCTCAAAATGATGCAGTATCCAGTATATTACTCATTATCGGATCATTGTTGACCTATCCACTCAGTGTGGTTGACATGCAGCTATAGCAAATCTCTGTTGTGATAGGATGTTAATGACAAAGACATGTTAAATGTTAAAGACATTAATTCGCAAATTATTGTATATATGCATATTGGCCATTTAATTGTAATTATTAATATTGGCCATTTAATTGATTGGCCGAAAAGTAGACAATTTGGTGTTCACTTGTGAAAAATGTGTATAAATTCACCTAGATTCTCAACCTATAGCAGCCATATCCAAGAAGCAAACGATGATGTATGTTCAGACAGATGGGTTTATTACATTCACGTATCTGGAAATCTCACCTCATATCGATGGCAGGCAGAAATCGGTACATGTAAATGTGGCCAAAGTTTATGAGCTCAGCTGCAAACTCCGGAGCCAACACCTCGTGAGAGTCCGGCGGGAAGTATCTTAAGGCATTTTTCACAGCGAGCTACAAGAGAGCAGGATCAGGGTCAGGCTTGGGGTAAAAAGAGCAACACTCATACCTCCTAGCCACTGGAGATAGGACACAAATATAGGAAATATCGGAGGCTATCCTTCAAAATATAGAAGAAATATAGGAATTTTGAGGAATTGAGCAGAAGCTGTGCACACATACACCATGCAACCTTGGCTCCTGGAGAGTCTCTAGGTTGAAACAATTCAGAGATACTCACAGTCTGCAGCAATAGGATATTGAGTTTTCAAAGAGATGCATGCGCGTACATGACACATGTTTATACAAGAGACTTGATTGGCCATAATAGATGATCTCACCCAGTTTAACCCAAAAACTTGCCAGCCACTCAAAATATAGGAAATATAGGCACACAACACTCGCACACTCGCACGCACAGGCACGCAACAGCACGCCAGCATCCACGCACGCATACACGCACGCACGCACGCACGCAGACACCGCACATCGACACCACCGACACAGGCGACACAGCGGACGCACACTGCACACACACACCCACACCCACACACACGCACACACACACAACACACACACGCAGGCGACCACACACAACCACACACACCCACCAACTGCACACACCAACACAGGCGACACACACACCACACCGACCCAGCGGACACGCCGCGCACACATGGGGCCCCGAGCACAGCGACACACACTAGCACACACAACGCGGCCGACAGCGCAGCGACACACACACACACCACAGACACAGCGACACATCACAGCCACACCGACACAGCGACACACACCACGCACAATCGCGCCGACATCTTCCGGCCACGCGCGACACGGCGAGGCAGCGCCACAGCACACACCGACACAGCGACACCACCGCCACACCACACCCGACACAGCGACAGGGGGACGCCCACACCGCACAGCGACTACACCGGGCACACCGACAGGCGCGGCGGGCCGAGCGAACCAACACACATGCACACGCGACACATGCGACACAAGCACACCACACACCGACACAAGGGGGCGACAGCACACACACAGCCATTCGTCCCCCGACACAGCCGACCACACACATCCACACACGACACAGCGACCACAACACACCCACACACACACCACACACAGCACACACACACACACCACAACACCGACACAGGCGACACACAACATCACACGAAGCACACACACACACACACACACACCGACACAGCGACACAACACACACCAACAATGCACGACACACGCGACCCACACACACACACACCGACACAGGCGACACACCAGTCCACCACCCGGGCGCGGGCCGACACCGCGACACACACACACACACACACCGAACGCAGCGACACACACACACACACAGCGCCGACATCAGCGACACACACACACACACCGGACACAGCAAAACGCACACACACACACACCCCGATCACACATCCGGCGACTACACCACACACACAGCACCGACGAACAGCAGACACACACCCACACACACACCGCGTCCAGCGACATCACAGACACACACAGCAGACCGACACAGCGACCACACACACACACACCGACACACGCGCGACACACACAGGCATCACACACACGCCTTCAGACGACACAGCGACACACACACACACACACCGACACCAGCGACACACAGCAACACAACACGCCGACACAGCGACACACCCACACACACACACCGACACGAGCGAACACACACACTACACACACTGACACAGCGACACACACACGCACACGACGCACACAGCGACACACACAACCGACACAGCGACACACACACGACACACAGCCGACAACATGGCGACACAGCCACGCACAGCCGACACATGCGACAGCAGCGACACCACACACACACACTGATTGTAACTCTGGCGCTCGGAGCGTGTCGCCGCCGCACAGCACACGCGAAAGCGACACAAGCGCGAACACACAACACAACACACGACAGCACCGAGCACAGGTCCCGGAGCGACACACACACGCAACACCGCGACACACCGGCGACACACACCCACGCACACACACCGACACAGCGACACACAACCCGGCACACCGATCACATGCGACACACACACACACACAGCCGACACATCTCGCGCGACAACACACAGCACACACCGACACAGCGAACATCACACACGCACACCGACACACCGGCGACACCACACACGCACACCCGACACAGCGACACATCACACGCCACACCGACACAGGCGACACACACACAGGCACAGCCCGACACAGCGACACACACCCGCACACACACCGACACCAGCGATCACCACAGCGCCGACACAGGCGACACACACACCGATGCACCGCGACACACAACGCACACGACACCGACACACGCGACACACACACACCACACACACCACACACACACACACACTACACACACACACACAACACACACACCGACCACCACAGCACACACAGCACGACACACACCGACCAGCGACACCAGCACACACCACACGACACAGCGACACACACACACACACACCGACACAGCGACACACACACACACAACCACCGACACAGCGACACACCCACGCATCCACCGATCACAGCGCACACACAACGCACAACTCGACATCCCTTGCCGCCTCCGCGCGACAGCTCACACAGATCCAACCACACACACGACCACAGCGACACACTAGCACCACACACACACACACACACACACACACACACACAGCACACACACACACACACACACACACACCCGATCACCACACACACAGCCGTCACACACAAGGACCGACACAGCGACACACACGACGCACACCGGATCAACAAGCGACACACAACGCGGGCACGCACCACAAGTGCCCGGCTGGTGCATACCGACACACACGCGACCGGCGACACACAACACGTCGCACACCGACACATGCGCACACACACGCACACGCACACACACACACACACACACACCTAAATCAAGGTTACAGTTATACTGGCTGTAGGAACAATCAAGTCTGCACTGTACACACCGCGTATGCTTACATAGTACACGTATATACTGACTAAGCAACACTTTCTCGTATCGCATGTAGAGGACCAAACCTAGTATGGCCATAAATCTACTAGACCTGTTGCTCTTCATTCGTCAAGTTGGTAACACGCGTGGGCGCATGAGGTAGTGAGCCATCTCTCGATCTCGGGCTTGGAAGAGGGTTAGTTGGTAGACCAGCACAGATGTCTTGTAACGTTGTCATCTCTCTCTCTCTCTCTCCTTCTCTAACAGAACAAAAAGCTATATGTATAAACACAACCGACAGTACTGCCTAATGGATCCGTATACCAAATGGATCAGTTATCTATCTCGGAGGGCAGACACGCAGTAGCAGCTCGCTCACGTACACACGTGACACTGTTTAGTACTCCGACGGAATTGCCAAGTGATTTTACACTCAAGTTGCTGTACACATAGCTCTAGTAACTATAGCCAAAGACCGCGTACGGTTGCCGCTGGCCAGCCTGTGCACATTGTATCTAGGTCGACCCGACGCTATTATCACTATCAGTTATTATTGAAATACATACCGGGTTACATCGAAGTGTAGGATGGGAATTTCACGGCCAAACCTTTACCAATCTTATCCAGTAAATGTTGTTATGTATAGGTACTGTAATTATATTAATTCCACTCTATGTTAAATACGTTTTAGAGTATTATAATATTTATGCATTTTACGGTTACACATAACATACAATGTGCGCATATGAATTATTTCTACCGATAGATGGCGCGAGGATGTCATCAGTAGTCGGTTCACGAGTTGACGGTGTTTGCCATGAGTCTACGGTTCGCTCTGTGCCCTAAGGACATGTCACTACTGGAAGTAGTTTATTTTTTGCTGGTTACGTGCCTGCTTTAGACTATTCCGTCTCACAGATGGGCTGGGGCAGTCACGGTGTAGTTATTTGTAGGGTTTGGAGGCTGGGACACGGTGACACTCAGAATTATTATAAAGGTCATAATATATATGATTAAATAACTTTATCGGATCTCTATAATTTATACATGCTAATAACGTTAATCTCAATTAGATCCATATTCAGTAGAAAATACCTGGAAACGTTAGACCTGAGGAAGTCTGTCGGAGAGATGGACGAAAATTTCGTCAGAGTAAGTTATTTTGTACTGATTATGCATCTAACTGAGATTAACGTTATTAGCACGTCATAATATATAGTTTTTGACTGTTTATTGTATGAACTCGGTCAGTTCGCGCTCTCTCTCTCTCTCTCTCTCTCTCTCTCTCTCTCTCTCTCTCTCTCTCTCTCTCTCTCTCTCTCTCTCTCTCTCTCTC